TCGCAAGCCGAAGAACACCATCCCAACCGTGAAGCATGGGGGTGGCAGCATCATGCTGTGGGGGTGATTTGCTGCAGGAGGGACTGGTTCACTTCACAAAATAGATGACATCATGAGGAAGGAAAATTATGTGGATATATTGAAGCAACATCTCAAGACATCAGTCAGGAAGTTAAAGCTTGGTTGCAAATGGGTCTTCCAAATGGACAATAACCCCAAGCATACTTCCAAAGTTGTGGCAAAATGGCTTAAGGACAACAAAGTCAAGGTATTGGAGTGGCCTTCACAAAGCCCTGACCTCAATCCTATCATAAATTTGTGGGCAGAACTGAAAAAGCGTGTGCGAGCAAGGAGGCCTACAAACCTGACTCAGTTACACCAGCTCTGTCAGGAGGAATGGGCCAAAATTCACCCAACTTATTGTGGGAAGCTTGTGGAAGGCTACATGAAACGTTTGACCCAAGGTAAACAATTTAAAGGCAATGCTACCAAATACTAATTGAGTGTATGTAAACTTCTGACCCACTGGGAATGTGATGAAAGAAACAAAAGCTGAAATAAATAATTCTCTCTACTATTATTCTGACATTTCACATTCTTACATTTTACATTTTAGTCATTTAGCAGACGCTTTTATCCAGAGCGACTTACTTAGTGAGTGAGTGCATACATTTTCATACTGGCCCCCCGTGGGAAACGAACCCACAACCCTGGCGTTGCAAGCGCCATGCTCTACCAACTGAGCTACAGGGGTGGTGATCCTAACTGACCTAAGACAGGGAATTTTTACTAGGATTAAATGTCAGGAATTGTGAAAAACCGAGTGGAAATGTATTTGGCTAAGGTGTATGTAAACTTCCGACTTCAACTGTAACTAGAATGAGATTCACTTTATATGATCTCTCTCCCTTTCTGCTCTGATAGACATGAGCCTGCAACTCATCTCTCCAGCGTTGCACTTCATCATTTATTTCCTTATAGAATCACACAAAGGGTTCTGAAGGAACTGCAGCACCCCTGATAAATTTAAATACATGTGCCAAAGTTATAGAATTACTGCTGTCTGTTCAGAAATAAATGAAATAATTCAGAATAGCCTACTACCTCATGAGAAGGCCTATCATTAACCACAGAGGATCAATAGCTTCTTTTTAAAAACAGGCTAGCCGTGAATTGTAGCCCAATAACAAGGAATAGCCTACAGTCGGGAACGCGAGGCAAATCTGTCAGTGAAAAAACAAACAGACAAAACAGTCCTTTTTCAAATACAATTGAGGAAAAACACAGGTTGGAAACCAAATGGCTCCTGCTGAAAAGAGAAGACTATGCTGTAGGCTACCAAAATATTTGATCAACTTCCAAATATTGTTTTACAAAGTAAAACAAAAGAGAGATAGGCTTTTGGCACGAGTGCATCAGCCATCACCAGCGAGTGAGCTGCGCATCATTGGGTGAGTCAGTGGAAACTGGAAAGGATTTTTAGGACTATAATTTCCTCCTCAATATGGGTCTCCACACACCTAGGCCTAGGCTATTGATGGAATCAAGACAAGGTCGTTTTTATTGATCTCAGATTCTCAGTTTGTCAGTGTCAAAGTAGCCTGCCATTTCAATAATTGATTTGTGCGGTATTAAAAAAGATTCTGCCAAAGTCTCGAGTCATGTAAAATGATGTAGAATTGCATGAAATGCCTTTATAAAAAGGACCCCCCAAAACATCAGAGACCCTAGGCTACTAAAAATGTTCCCAATGTATACAACTTCTGTAAGTGTCTCTACTCTACTGCTCTATGACACTTTTTTCTCATGCGTTCTAGTACCTCAAAACCTCAGAACTCCCCAGGTCACTCCCCTCTCGCGCTCACTTTTTGTTCCGGCACCTCCCGATTTACAAATTAAGCACTGGCCTAACACTTACCCTTTACCCTTATTCTAAACCTAACCCTAACCGTAACCTTAGCAAGCAGTTGCTTATCAACAGATGTTCGAAATATCAGGCTATTGGTTTTCAACTAAGTTTAGATCTGAGTAAGTCTAATTGTAGCTGATTTCACAAAATATGTTACCATGTTATATTCATTGTATTTCATAATGTATTTCTCTGCACCGGTATATCTAACAAGACTATTTTCAATATTAGGAGAAAGACCAAGGTCTTGGGTTGAAATGGGGACCCTTTTTTATCCTCATATCTTATTCCAACATGGAGTTATAAGCCATTAAACACAAACTGTCCGGGGTTGGTTGTCACAGAGTATGGGGTTGGTTGTCACAGTGTTTGCCATTTGTTTTTCAGCAACAATTGAACCAAAGTTTTAGAAAAAGTAAAGCCTGAACAGTATTTCTATCTAACATAGTAAAAATAAATGAGTAAAAATAAATTTAACATTGTTGAATATTTGCTTTGACATTGTAGTTCTTACTCCACTCAAATCGTCACAGTAGAGTACAGTATAATATACTGTATTGTATCCTACTGTACTCTACTGAATTAAACTCAACTGTAATGTACTGTACTATACTCTAATGCAGTGGTTCCCAACCTTTTTTTAACTGTGGCACACCTTGATGGGACATACAATTATGCGGCACACCTAAAATGTCCCTAATTTATTCAGTGGTAATGACCTCCATCTCATCTGAATCATTATGCAATCAATTTTCTGTGACAATTTTTTAAAAACAGATTACATAGGGTTTATTTGAAATATTTTCATAGTTTTGATAGCTCCTTATGTGATTATGGATAATTTGTGTTTACCCCTTTAAGAGCGTCCTGCCAGAAAGAAGAAAATGTAGCTCAGGTAAAATCGGTTTGGTCTACAGATGAGTGGTTTTCTGCGACACAAGGCCATGCTCAGTTTGTTTATATCGCAGAGGCTGTGGAATAGCTACAGTTAGCCCAGAGCCATATATTAAGAAATAAATTACTCTGGCTAAACCTAATCAGAGTTGCCTGTGCTAATGGTTTTCACAGACAAAGTAAAATTACACAAATGAAACAACAGCCTGAGTGCACTGGATACAGACGTAACCATGTTCCATTGAATGTATTATCTGACCAGCACTAGGGTGCCCAAGTCAAAATTCCATGTGCATTCCGCAGGCCACAAGATTAGGAAAAGTTTCGCAACACACCTGAGAGTTCCTTAAGGCACATCAATGTGCTGCGGCACACCGGTTGGAAACCACTGCTCTAATATCCTGTACTCTACTAAAATTTAACTCAACTGTATGGTACGGTACTTTTCTCTACTGTACTGTACTATACTGAATTCAACTGTCTTGCACTGTACCGTACTACTGTACTCTAACATACTCTGCTGAATTAAACTCTACTGGACTGCGCTATCCAAACTTGTGAAACAGTCGTCTTTTCAACGTCCAAAAAACAAGTATTCTAGGCGTCTTTTCAACGTCATTTATCTTACTGAGTACATTGTTACAATGGGGATGGTTTTCAGATTGTGACAAGCGGGCTTGACCTACACATTTCTTTGTTGTTTAAAATTATTACACAGCCCCCCTGGATTTTGAGTAAGCACTGTGACAACCAACCCGTGAGACAACCAACCCCGGTATCCCCTACAGGGAAATCGAGGATTTGAATTTGCAGCCTAAATGAGATTGATTTTGGTCTGTTTCCAAAACAATATCGACATTATATTTACTGTAATGTTCAGTAAAACATACAGTAAAACCAATGCAAACGCAGGGGACCAGTTATCTTTTCCATCTTCTTGTTAGGAAATAACAACCTCCTTTGTCCTACATGGCAGGTAGGCTGTGAATAAGGCAATTACACTGACTAGTGAAATTAGTAGTAACATAGCTACATTCGTATCCGCTATTTGTCTTACCTTTTTCTTGTTTTCTGGTTTTCGCTCTTGACGACCTGCCAAGATGTGTGGTTGCGGCATCCCCACTGAACACACAGCAGAGAAGACAAATTATCACAGTCACGTGACGGCGGCAATAAATGATCACGTGAATGGATACAGTTGCTGTCAAATGCAGTATATTGGAACACTTGCATGATTCACTATTTATTTTCTTCTAAAATAAGTAACTATATATATATATATATAATTAGGTGTTTACAGTATTTGTTTGATTTACAACTGCACTGGACCAAGAAACAAAAATGAAACAGATTTTTCACTTCAAAGTAAAATAAATACCTGGAATCAATTATTCAGAATTCAAATGAAATGAATTTGGTTGTCGCCAAGTGAAGCGATTCCGTTTAATGTGTAATTTATCTCACCTGTGGTAATTTACAGGTGCCTTCAGGGTGAAAATAGCCAATTCAACCAGTTTTGAAGCCAGAAAACACCCACTGGGCACAGATGTCAATTAATCGTCTATTCCACATTGGTTCAAAGTAATTTCATTGAAATTATGTGGAAACATCATTGATACAAGTGTGTGTGTGCCCAGTGGGCAATATCTTTGAGCGCAACAGTAATAGGCAACAATTATCCAAGTAGACCTACTTTATGCCACTGGATCAAAATTACAACCTCTTTTAAAAATCTTCCTTTGTTTCTGAGTGCATGAACTAAAAAAACAAAACAAGAAAGGAGCTTCTTGAGTGTCAAGGAGGAGTCTTGATCTAATGTTATGTCGTTATAGATTCATTTGCTTTATTATGCAACTCAAAATATTCAGATCATTAGGCTGTTCACACACAGACAGTGCTTTGGGGAAATGACTGTCTTCTGTTCTCATCATGATGTTAAACAGACCCCCCCCCCTCCAAAAAAAAAAAGATGTAGGCTATGGCCAATACTTCACTGGGCCTCTCACTTGACAAGACCCCTTTTTACCCTTTTAGTACATAAACGTCTTTAGACTGTACTTAAAATGTGTGACAATTAGTACTGTGTGAAGCCTGTGGTACGGTGTGAAGACTAGACATGGAATTAGACATTGTATTGCAGTATGAAAATGTATGCACTCACTAACTGTAAGTCGCTCTGGATAAGAGCATCTGCTAAATGACTAAAATGTAAATGTGATTGTTAAAAGGCATGATGCGCAAGATGGGCAACAAAATCAAAGGGTACCCTGAGGGGAATGTGACATTGACCTACAGGTTCAAGGATTTAACAGATTTACAAACACAAACAACCAGCAAAAGTAGCATAAAATGAGACTTATCTGATGATAAACCAACAAATAATAATCTTGTTACAAGATACCAAGTCAGAAACTGCTGAACAGGATAATCCAAACTATGTTGAACATATAGTTTTGTACAATATGTACGTTATAAACAGGCTGTCAAAAGACGAGCTACATTGTGGCACCATGCAATAACCCACAGAGGAGAGAGAGGGACAAAAGTCATAACACAGAAAATGTAGCATCTAATATAGAACAAACAGTTTTCTGTGTGCTAGCTCAGTACTCCCTCAACACATAGTTAACACTCATTATCGCTAGTGATGGGTCATAAACATGATCAAAGCAGATTAATCACTCCTAATCATCCACACAGCTATTCCCTTTCATTGGTTTCTCTCCAACATTGTTTCTATAATTTTACTGTCACAGAAGCGTCCTCTAATCAAACATATTATTGACATCAACTTCAGAGGTAGCACCACTCTGACTGAATACTCAGACTTCAAAGGCATGGATGGGTGTGTCACCAACATGGATCTCTATGGATATAGATGAGTCATTGCAGCTGTTCTGATGAAATTAGGAATCTCAGGTTCTCCAATTGATATTCACTCTGATGGACTGTGGTCTGTCTTAGACCTGAGTCAGTATAGAATAGATTTGGTTAGGGTTCCTCAGCTCTTCACTCCAAGGCTCCAGTCTCAGTTGACTCTCTGAGATACAGTATGACATGATAAACAGTGAACAGATACATTTGGTTAGGGGCCCATCACTACACAACCCCCATTCTAATAACCATCCATCCACCTTCAGTGAGACATCTGTGGAGGGCCACAATTGGTGGCAATGGACATCAGACCGAGGGTGGTAGCTACCAGGGAAGCTGCGTGTTCCCCCAGACAGGCACAGGTGTCCAGTAGGGAGCGTGTGCGAGCAGTCAGTGTCAGAGAGGCAGAGATGACCTCATAGGCCTCCAGGGGAAGGGCCCGCCGTGAGATGAGCACATCCAACAGGTTGTTGAGTCGTCCCTCCGTCATGCCTCGAATTATGCCCTCACGCCTCTCGCGCAGGATACGACAACAGCTCACCGCCGTCGGAGTCACACACCGTGCAGCTGCTGACAAGAAGGGAGGGTGAAGTTTCAGGGATGGTACAAAAACTATAATATCACATCTCTCACACACTCATAAAACACAAATCATGTAGAGAGGACCTTCAGAAAAATACTAAGACAACTCAGAGAAAGAGGACAAGAGAGAAGTAGTAGCTATCTGATATGAAAGACAGTAATTTGTGCAGTAGATTATTTCACTGAATTCATAGCCCTACTAGACAAGTTACCCTCTTATTCAACACACTTTAAATGTGTGGTAGCCATGTATTGCTTTTTAAAAGACAAAATGTTTTTGACTCAGAGCATTTACTGGGACAACAGACAACTTATAGAGAGAAACAAAGATTCTCAAGAGAGGAAATGCATTGGATACAGATAAGACTGTGAAAGGATGGCCATGCAGGAAACCAGCAATCCCCAAAACTGCTTACTGTGCACATACAAACACACAGAGGGAGGCATTGTTTCTAACGTCTACTCACTTTCATATTGCTTTACGTTCTCTTCACCTTTTTCAGCAACATTTTAGAAACATGATAGAAAAAGATAAGTAAATTCTAGATAGCTACAGTCTGGCACTGTACATAAGTTTGCAAACAAAACTGGGTAATAGGTGGGAGGTCTAAGCTTAAACACATTTCCTACCATGGGAGCTGGCAGTGGGCTGGTTGAGAGGGCTCTGTCTGAGGGCTTTGGAGGGGCTGGAGGAGAGTGGGGGTGGTAGGCTCTGTCTTTGTCCCTGGGAGACGCATCCTGTCCCTCTGGGATGCTCAGGAACCGGGCCACTGCTGGAAGACACCACAGAGCCAGTCACACAGTCTGGGGAGAGACACATGTTGCTGTTATACTGTTCGGGATAAGGTATAAATTAATCATGACTTAATAAAGAAGATAAACAACAGGGTGGTTTCACTGACAAACTGAGCACATTCACAAACTGCTCTCATTATCGATCAGTTTGAAGTTCTTACCCTGACAGTGCCTCCTCTGGGGTGCTTCCCCTGTATATATGGCTGTAGGGGGACTAGGGAGTGTTTCACTAGGGCTGGTAGTCTGTGGTAAAGGCAGTGTCTTGTTGCCCACACATTTAGTGTCTCCGGAACCAGCGCAGGCCTAGTAATGAGATATGTAAATATTGTTTTAAATGTAATAGACTTCACAAGCATTAAGTACATTCATAATACCACAAAAATGTGAACCAAGCTCACCTCTAGGTTGTTTATCTCAATGGGAATATCCTTCACAGGATGTATTTTAGAGTCATGTAGCGCCCTCTCCTGGTAAAGGGACAGAAGACGCATACACATGTTTGCTCATGACGAGAGACTGTTATCAGTGGTAACTGTTGAGAGATTAAAACCACATTAAACATATCCTGATTCCCTCAGTCAAAACAAACCGATAGCAGATCAGGGTTGTGGTAACAGAGAATATTGGACTTCGGAGTGTAATATTAGAACTTATTAAATAAGGATGATCAGTACCTTGCTTTCCCTCACCCTGAGGATAGCCCTTGTCATGGCATCAGGATCAAAGGTTGCTATGGCGCTCCTCAGTTCCAATGCACAGTCTGTGGACAGAGAGCAAGAAGAGGACATGAAAAAGATGTCTGCCAAGTAAACATCACATTGACCATAATGCACCAACATTTCAAGATTGTTTTTATATACACATGGCAGTCATAGGCAATTAAATACATGGATATGGACTAACATCAGATAATAAACAATTACACACAATTTAGATGGCAGAAGTAGGGTATGGGATTGTATCTCCCAGTCCTGGCGTGTGGAACAGAGAGGAGGTGGGTGCTGCAAGTGGTTGTGCCTGTCACTTGTCCTCAACAGGCAGGTGGGTAACCAGTCAAGGAAGGGGGACTTGTAAGGAGAGATCACAAAGTCCAGGCACAGCTGCTCTCTTCACCACTGTCTATCTATACTCTGATTCACCCTCACAGACAGACTCACCCTCTGCTGTTGGACGGCTGTGTGGGTTAGTGCTCCAGCAGTTGTTCATCAGCTGGGAGAGGGTATGGCAGTGGGGCACATGCTTGGGTAGCAGCTCATCCTCCAAGCCTGAATCAACCCCATCCTCACCTGAAAGCAGCTGGAGCAAATCTGCTTGGGCATAGACAATGACATGATGTCTTACAAGTTACAAATGTAATAAAATATTGAGACTGTATGACATACGGCCAGGTATAACCTAGTCTCCTCTGATAGAAACAGAGCTGTGCTTTGAATAGACGGAAAGATATAGAAACACACCTCCACATGGTTGCCTTCTGTTCAAAGTCTCCCACAGCAGCACACCAAAGCTAAAGAGAGAAGATATTCATTGGGTAACTGCATGTTCATTAGTAAAGGCATCTGTAGAAAAGTGGTTAAACCCCTCCTGCCCCACCTGGTACATTTCATTGGTGAATATGACTGTTTGAAGTGGCAGGATCATGAAAGGTGATCTCACCTGTACATGTCTGCCTCCACAGAGGGTGTGGTCCCTGTCAGGGCCTCAGGAGACAGGTATACCAAGTCCCTGAAGCAGGGCCCTCCTCCAGCAGAGAGAGAGGAGCCAACCCTCCACTCCCTGGGCAGGCCCCAGTCACTCACCTGCAGGTAGGAACATGAACACCCACACACATTAACATAAACGACAACACACATGAACATAAACACCCACATACAAATCGACAAAAAACACCTGTTCTAACACAGACTCAAACCCACATACGTACACTGTAAAGCTTGCACCTGTAACCGTTCACAATACACCATATCCAATGGCTCATATACCATCAATCAAATGGAGTTCTTTCTCACATTAGTTTCACCACTCAGAGAGAAGGCTTTTGTCTCTGTAGTACAGGATTGGGTCAGTTATCAGTCACTGTTCTCTACCTTGGCCCGGTACTGCTGGTCCAGGAGAACATTGGTGGGTTTCAGGGCCTGGTGGGGGAGTGGTATGCAGTGGAGGTGGCACAACCCCTCTGCCACATCTAATAGGATGCCAAGCCTGAAACTCATCGGTAGACCTGGATACAGCTGGGTCTGACAGGGATAACAAGGGTTGCAATCATTCAACAGATTCAGTATAAACTCTCCAAATAAATAAATAAAGGGGAACTGAAAATGACTAGTGGGGAAAAAAGCACATGACAACACAAAGTTGAAATTGTGAACTGAAAATCCTAAAGAATTCAACCTGATCACGACCCAACTTATTATATGTAAATACAGTTTAACCACAGATAGACTAAGTCATGTGCATTGGAATTAAGTCACATGTCTACTGTCTGACGTTATGTTCCAGCCAGGGCACTTTCTCCTGAACCAGGAAGAGCTCTTTGTGTAAATAAGGCAGTGACAGATGGATCTCTTTTTGCATCAGCCAGGGGCTTTCCAGACACAGCATGTGGGCGACAAGCTTAGCAATGTTCTCCTTGAAAACACGGGAATTGTAAATAAAGCAATCAAAAGAAGGACATTATTTGATTAACTTTATATGTGTCTATCGAAGCTCTGACCACCAGTTTGTTGACATACACTGAGTGTACAAAACTTTAAGAACAGCTGCTCTTTCTATCACATAGACTGACCAGGTGAATCCAGGTGAAAGCTATGATCCCTTATTGATGTCACTTGTTAAATTCACTTAAACCAGTGTAGATGAAGGGGGGGAGACAGGTTAAAGAAGGATTTTTAAGCTTTGAGACAATTGAGACAGATTGTGTGTGTGCCATTCAGAGGGTGAATGGGCAATACTCAATATTAGGAAGGTGTTCCTAATGTTTGGTATACTCTGTGTATACTGTAGGCCACAACCAAGGGAAAAGATGCAGAACCTATTTAAATTAATCAATTAGCCTACTGCCACACACTATACATGCATATTCATATTTGAGTTAGACTGAGTGCTCATATATTACACTGACCTGGTATAGTAGAGAGTGCAGAGAGCCTTCAGGCATCCAGTCATACAGCAGGCCCATCAGACACCAGGCCTTGTACACACCCAGTGGAACCAGAACCCGCTCTGAATGGACTTGTCTGACCACATCCACGTCTCTCATCCACTCAGTCCACTCACTGGGGCAGAACAAAACGCACAGTCAACACACCACATACAAACATATGCAGTAAACAAATATAAACACACAAACACCTGCTGAAGTGGTCTTGGTTCACAAGGCTTTTGTTTACACTAAACAAGTAATCACCATGATGTGACAGATTTGTCATCTTTTAGAAAGTTGTGTGAGAGAGAGAGAGAGAGAGAGAGAGAGAGAGAGAGAGAGAGAGAGAGAGAGAGAGAGAGAGAGAGAGAGAGAGAGAGAGAGAGACAACTGGCCCCACCCTACTAAAATCTGAAGTAAAATGTTTACTGTTTGCTGATGATCTGTCCCCAACAAAGAAGGGCCTACAGCAGCACCTATAATACAAATAATGGTGTTCCAAAAAAGGTTCAGTTGCCAGGACCACAAATACAAATTCCATCTAGAGACCGTTGCCCTAGAGCGCACAAAAAACTATGCCTACCTTGGCCTAAACATCAGCACCACAGGTAACTTCCACAAAGTTGTGAATTATCTGAGAGACAAAGCAAGGGCCTTCTACGCCATCAAAAGGAACATAACATTTGACATCCCAATTAGGATCTGGCAAAAAATACTTGAATCAGTTATAGAACCAATTGGCCTCTACAGTTGTGAGGTCTGGGGTCCATTAACCAACAAAGAATTCACAAAATGGAGACAAACACCAAATTGAGACTGCATGCAGAATTAGGACGATACCTGCTAATTATCCAAATCCAGAAAAGAGCCTTAAAATTCTACAACCACCTAAAAGGAAGCGATTCCCAAACCTTCCATAACAAAGCCATCACCTACAGAGAGATGAACCTAGAGAAGATTCCCCTCAGCAAGCTGGTCCTGGGGCTCAGTTCACAAACACAAACAGACACCACAGAGCCCCAGGACAGTAACACAATTAGACCCAACCAAATCATGAAAAAACAAAGAGATAATTACTTGACACATTGGAAAGAACTAACCAAAAAACTAAGCAAACTGGAATTCTATTTGGCCTTAAACAGAGAGTACACAGTGGCAGAATACCTGACCACCGTGACTGACACAAAATTAACAAAAGCTTTGACTATGTACAGACTCAGTGAGCATAACTCTTACTATTGAGAAAGGCGGCCATAGGCCATAGGCAGACCTGGCTCTGGAGAGAATACAGATGGAAACTGAGATGCACTTCCTAACATCCTGCCAAATGTATGACCATATTAGAGACACATATTTCCCACAGATTACACAGACCCACAAAGAATTTGAAAACAAATCACATTTTGATAAACTCCCATATCTATTATGTGGAATACCACAGTGTGCCATCACAGCAGCAAGATTTGTGCCACAAAAAATAGCAACCAGTGAAGCACAAACACCATTGTAAATACAAACTATATTTATCTGTCTATTTATTTTCCCTTTCATAGCCTACTTCAACTATTTGCATATTGTTGCAACACTGTACATGGCTAATAATAAAACATTTAAAATGTCTCTATTATTTAGAACACTTTGTGAGTAATGTTTACTGTTCATTTCTGATTGTTTATTTCACTTTTGTTTATTATCTATTCCACTTGCTTTGTCAATCTAAACATGTTTCCCATGCCAATAAAGCCCTTTGACTTGAATTGAATTGAGAGAGAGATAGATTTTGTCATAGAATTTGAGCTTGAGATTTGCCAACTTTACCTTCGACCTGCAGTGCGAGACGACAGGAGCTTGATTGACACTTGTAGCTCTGTTCTCCGGTAAGTACCCCGAAGACACCCGCCTGTGCTAGTTCGGCACAAGATCACATTTAGCACGTCCTCTTCACGAACAGTTTCCACCGCCATCTGATAGGAACAGAAACCAGTCGACTCAATAATAATAGAACTTAGTTTTATTGTGGTTGTTGCTCTGCCATGAATTAATCTATTTGTCTTTCACTGCACTGACAAATTGAACAGCAAGCAGCGAGTTGGGCGTGCTATGATGACAGTGTGTTTACATCTACACGATTGGTTGCTTTGTTCAGGGAAATCCCCTGGCTAGCTACAGTAGGCTATAAAATGAGGGATGAAGTCATTTTTTTACTGTCAATGGTGTAAAAACAGATAAAGGCGGTGGCATCACTTCCATTTGAGAGAGAGAGAGAGAGAGAGAGAGAGAGAGAGAGAGAGAGAGAGAGTGAGAGAGAGAGAGAGAGAGTGTGAGAGAGAGAGAGTGAGAGAGAGAGAGTGAGAGAGAGAGAGAGTGAATCAATGTGGAAAACTAATTGGATTTGCAAAATGTCATCAATATAAGGGCATTTTGTCTTTTTTCTCCCAACTTTTAACCGAAGTCCAATGACATTTAACCGAAGTCCAATGACAAGTCCAATGATTTCACGATGAATTCAACCAAATGTTAAACTGACCTCTGTGCCTAGTGGGTACTGACACCTGAACACAGACCCCTCGCCAGACCTCAGTCTTAAGGGGGGCATATGCAATGCATGGGAGGGCACGGCACAATTATTATTAGCCTACAGTACCTATATTTAATAATAAATTCCCTCAAGTGGGGGGGGGGGGCCCGGCCCCCTATGGCCCGCCCATAGCGACGGGTGTGCCTGAACAACTCCTTCAGTCTGAGAATGTGTGAAGTCAACTTGGAATTTCCCAACTCTGTCACCTAACAGCCCTCTACAGGAGGCATGGGAAATCCCTTTACACCCTTTCACTTTCACTTTTGTCAGTCAGGAATTAAGTAGTTGTGGGAACAACGTAGCCTAAAGGCAATTATTCCATGGTAACGGAATTATGCTGAGATTCATTCACTTTAAAATGTATACCAACAAAAACCATTGATTTCAGAGTTTAACAAACCATAGAACTCTATGCACAAGGACTACTTTTAACAATTTCCACTGAACATTTTACAAAAACACATTTACAGGAGAACTGTGCAGATACCAAGTTTGGTAACAGAATAAAACTAATTATGTTACCAAACTTTGCATTTGCACAGTTTTTCCAGTAAATGTTTTTTGTTTGTTTGTTTTACTGTGTAAATTGTTCAAAGTAGCCATTGTGCATAGAGTTGTATGGTTTGTTAACATTTTAAATAAAAAATGTGTTTGGCATACATTTGTAAGTGACAAAATGGAGTCTCAGCGTAATTCCGTTACCATGGAATTGCCCCTAAATGAAAAGCTGATGGGACACTGTTTCAAGGTCAAAGGAGAGATTGGTATAGGCCAATGTTTATATGAGCACCTTTCAAACAGTTCCATTTTTACCACATTCTTGCCAGCATAAGCCTTTTACACATCCTGTTCGCATGCCGACACCTGTTGGTTACCAGTGGGAGTATGTGCTGATGTGGGTGGGAGTCTATTTTAATAAATCCATTGAATATACTGTACACCATCACAAAGAATCCATTATTTATTCATTTAGGCAGGTTCTAAGAAATATTATAAGACTAAAAAAAATAGAATAGCATATTTTGAGTTTAATGATGTTACTGGTCTGTGCAGCCTATAGGCTGCATGGCTGTGCCATGCAAATGAAATCAATAGTTAGTATTTTGTTCATTAAACAGACAAGACATGCCCCTGCACTGATCACAGTCAACACACATATATTTTACAGTAAGAAAATAATGGAATGTAACAGAATAAAACAACTTGAGTGTCACAGGAACAGAACTGCTGTCAGAGCCCATACCCTGATTTTTTTTTTGTTGAGTTTGTAGGTCCCTGTAACTTAGAATCTGCTCTTTCCAATTGTGTAAAGAAATCTGACCTGGGTGACCTGAATGAATTGTGCACGTGCTCATCTGAAAATGTGTAGCTGAAGATGCTCATTCATATTAACCCATAATTCCTTGGATAATTATTAGGCCTGATAGGCTACTGTAGTACATTGATCATCACCAGTCAATGTTATCACACCATCGCCTGCTTTCTTTCCTTTCAAACTCCCCACTAGTTATTTTGGCTGAAGACAGATTTGTAGTTTAAGTTAGAATATATTTAAATGGAGAGAATAAATGCATTAAAGCATTTTCTGTTAAGCTTTGTGATTGACAGGGAAAAGTTTGATGTCAGACAACAATAGAATGTTCATGATTTAATGTGTGACAAAGCCGGTAAATGAAAGGCGACGATACTGAGGCGTTGGCGGGACTTTTAAACATAGCCTAATACCGCAATCATGACTTCCTCGCTTGGAAATAAAAGTACAGGCTTTGTTACCGGCAATACCTTTCAGATATGAAGAAAAGGCAATATTAAGTTGGGGGCATGGTAAAGTTGGTGCCTTTTCGTCTGGGTATGAATGGGATATCACATTGCCAAAAAAGTTAACTCCCCAGTCGCTGTGCCCAACAAGCGCTTTTTAGCCAGACAGCGTAATGTCGCAGAGTAGCCTGCGGAGTACACCACTTGTCAAAGCGGCTAGTGCAGGGGTGTCAAACGTACGGCCCGCGGGCCGGATCAGGCCCGCAAACGGGTTTAATCCGGCCCGCGAGATGATAAAAAAAAATATAAAAAATTCATTAATAATTGTCAAGTATAAAAATGCGCTGCAATTTTTCAATAAAATAAACTGCTGTTCCAATTGCGTCCACTGAATGGCGCAATAGCAATTGTGTTAAGCAAGCAAACTGTTTATACCGGGGCAGAGCAAGTAGGTCAAGCACGTGCAGCCAATGAGCTACTTTGTTTTGCCCGCGATATTTATTACGGCTTCTACTTTTAACATTATGTGCTTTGGCACCCTCATTCCCCCAATATGTCTCTGTCAAAAAAGAGAAAAGTGGACGCAGAGTGCAGAGTGTTCCAAGAAAAATGGTCATCCTATTTAATCACGGAATTGAATGGGAAAGCTGTATGTTTGGTGTGTTCAGAGCATGTTGCAGTGCTGAAAGAATATAACCTTCGTCGCCACTATGTGAGTCTTCATGCCGACAAATGTGACAACTTTCAAGGACAGTGGAGATGAGAGAAGGTGAATGAACTGTTGGCGGGTCTGAAGAAACAGCAGTCTGTGTTTACTCACAGCCGAGACATCAGTGACGCTGCAGTGAAAGCTAGCTACCTCATTGCTAATGAAATCGCAGTGGCTTCAAAACCATTTAGTGAGGGTCAATTTGTAAAAACATGCATGATGAAGGCAGCGGAGATTGTGTGCCCTGAAAAGCGGCAGGCTTTTGCAAATATCAGCCTGACAAGAAACACAGTTGCAGACAGAATTTCCGATCTTTCAGTGGATTTGGACAGCCAGTTGAAGCAAAAAGTAAAGTCATTTATTGCGTTTTCGGTTGCAATTGATGAAAGCACGGACATTACAGATGTTGCACAACTGGCCATTTTTTCATCCGCGGAGTTGATGACACATTGACCGTCACGAGGAGTTCGTGGAGTTGGTGCCGATGACAGATACAACGACAGCAGCTGATATTTTTTACCGCACTCGTCGGCGCGCTGGACAGGGTCGGAGTGGACTGGTCCCGCGCTGTCAGCCTGGCTACAGATGGTGCGCCCTCAATGATCGGGAAAAAAGCAGGCGTTGTGACAAAGTTCAGAGAGAAAGTGCAATCTGCAAATGGAGGACGTGATTTTTTTGACTTTTCACTGTATTTTGCACCAGGAGGCTTTGTGTTGCAAGTCATTAAAGATGGATAACGTCATGAAGGTCATCCAAACTGTTAATTTCATCCGATCCAGAAGCCTGAATCACCATCAGTTTGACAGCCTTCTCAGAGAGAAAGACCACATCTATGGCCTGCCATACCACACTGAGGTAAGATGGTTAAGCCGAGGTGCTGTGCTGAGGCATTTCTTTGATTTACGAGAAGAAATTGAACAGTTCATGGAAGAAAAGGGCAAACCAGTGTTAGAATTTCATTCCGCAGAATGGATGCCGGACCTTGCATTAGCCAGCTAGCTAGAGTGGGAAAGTTAACTGTGACGTTTCACCACGCAGGCGACGTTTTCTACTGTGATTGGTCAACAATGAAAGGCACTTCGGGGGTGGTTGGAGCGGATCAATGCAGTACATTGATCATCTCCTAAACCTCATACCTTATTTTCGGCGTTTATCACAAAACCCTACAAAAACGCCATATATTTCCACATAGGCTTTGTCCAACGAACCATGGCGGAGTTAGTGCCTACAAAAAGACGCCATTGCTATTTCGCTCGTTCTCAAACTCGCGCTCCTAAAGTGGCACGCGCGCCACCCCCTAGCCAATCTCCTGAGCTGAGTTCGAATACTCATACTAACCCCACTAACCATACTATTTGTGACGTAAATGGAGTATGTAGTATATATTAAGTATGTAGTGTACAGTATGTTAATTTATGTATTCGAACACAGCTCTGGTCTGGAGAACAGGGAAGTGATACAGCCATATTAGCCTTAATAACTAAAATACTCAAAGGTAGAGAAAATATCGACATTACTGTAATGAGCTACCTGGGAGTGGATATGGCTGAGCCATTAATATGTTTCAGCCATTAAATGCGTAGACATTCACTTTTACAATGTTTTATAAGTCGGTGTCCGACTGTCTTTAGCAACGTGAGAGAGTTTATAAGGGGAAATGGTGCGCAATAGTCACAATGCTCATGGAAGTGGTCATCTCTGGGCTCATCATACACATCTTTGATTTGAATCTATCTGACTTGGATCATCATTTTCTCCATGTGATGAGTTTATGACTGGCTTTGATGACTCAGACACAGAGGAAGTGATATTTGTTGGGACTGATGAGGTAGACAGGTGATGGAGGTGTGAAACAGAAATAGAGAACAGCATGGCCTATGTGTCTATCTTTAGTGCTGATTCCGTTTACTTTAAGATGTGGTTAGGGTGTTACCTTTTTAACAATAGGCTACAATGGATGAGTCCACAATGGGTAGGTTGAAATGTTTGTGGGTATGAAAAGAGGACTGTGTCTTGTTAAACACTATGTTTTACTCACACCTGGCTTTGTGTATTAAAAACACAGGGAGATGGTGTGGACACAATTAGTTTGCTGTATCTAAGTCTGGTAACAGTAAATTATAATGTAGGCTAAATATAGTAAATCCTCTACTTAAGAATGGACATCTCATTGACAGGCTAAAAGAGACATAAGTATCAGTTTGATGGCTTACTTCCTCATTCTCCTCCACCCTTGTCCATCATGTGTTTTTACAGTGCATTTACCCTGCTCCCTGTCACTCTGAAAGTAACCCAGTGTGTGGCCACGTAAAAACCCTGTTGTGCAAGTTTCCACACTGTCACTGTAATCATTCTGCAACTGAGCAATCATGATACACTCAGTGTTTTCCTTGGAACCTCTGCAATTTACTGTAAACCAGAGCTACAGCGTCAACATACACTGAGTGCACCAAATATTAGGAACATCTTCGTAATATTGAGTTGCACCCACTTTTGCCCTCAGAACAGCCTCGATTTGTCAGGGCATGGACTACAAGGTGAAAAAAAATTGTTCCACAGGGATGCTGGCCCATGTTGACTCCAATGTTTCCCACAGTTGTGTCAAGTTGGCTGGATGTTCTTTGGGTGGTGGACCATTATTGATACACACAGGAAACTGTTGAGCACGAAAAACCCAGCAGCGTTGCAGTACTTGACACACTCAAACCAGTGCGTCTGGCACCTACTACCATACCCCGTTCAAAGGCACTTAAATATTTTGCCTTGCCCATTCACAATCCATTTCTCAAGGCTTAAAAATCCTTCTTTAACCTGTCTCCTCCCCTTCATCTACACTGATTGAAGTGGATTTAACAGGTGACATCAATAAGGGATCATAGCTTTCACCTGGATTCAACTGGTCAGTCTATGTCATGGAAAGAGCAGGTGTTCCTCATGTTTTGTACACTCATTGTAGTTGTATACAATGCAGGTATTTCACTTATGAATTGTAGAGATAACAATTATTACATATTTTTGTAGTTATACATTCAAACTAAGGTCCTTGTGTTCTTTTCTTATACAGTAAACTTTTATTGAAGCAACATACATTTACATCCACACAAATATACAAATACAATATTACAATACGTTTTCAAAAGTTACAAAATATATACACACAATAATGGCAGTGACACAACCAGTCATGTTTTCTAAAAATACATCTCTGTACAAGTGAAAAAATAAAGTGCAAAACATAGTCCAGTAACTATGATCTGAATATACAGTGTGTCTGACACAGAATAGAGCAAGTTGCCAACTTCAACCAAATGTCATAGGCCATCATCTGAAAGACAGCAGACATGCTACTTCTATGAGTCCTTTTCTGAGTGAAGTAGATGGAAAACTCACTGAAACAGTTAGTCATACATAGTTTTAGAGACATTGTAAATTACAAATCACCTACCAATATCCACAATCTTCATTGAAATGTCTCCCATACAGCACATTTCAGTTTCTTCTAACTTCTTCTAACGTTCATATTACTGATGTATGGGCTGCCATTCTCTGGAAAACTATGTATGAAAGTTTCTTACATATGGGATTCTAACATGATTAATGGGTAAACGACAAGGCTAAGAAACTAAAGTGCTACTTCAAAAGTTTGAAATGACTGATATCTATGAAATAATAAGCTTACACAGAATAAAACAAGCTTATCAAGGGTCGCCCTGGGGCTTAAAGCTGAGATCCGTAGTGGTGAAACTGCCACATCCGTTTGCAATATTACAACAACAAAGACGTTACTTCAAACAACGAACACCCATTTTTTTCAATTGCACATGAGATAGATCAGCAGAGTACTATAATATTTTTTATCAAGATGCAGGATGCATCTCTGCCCCGTTTCAAAAACAAAAAGAATAACAAATGCGGCTGGGGCGACCAGTGGCGCTGTTTCACCTTATGCAGACTTTAGCTTTAAGCTTTAATTTTGACAGTCGTTCTTTACAGTCACTCAGATATGTGTATGGAAATGGCTTGTACATTGCAATATTCTGAATCTCAACCCCAGAGTTGGAATGTTCTGAGTGACAGAGTTTGGTACATTGCTCCTCCTTTACCCTACAAAAAGAGGGGTACCCCAGCTCAGCTCTTCTCCTGCAGCATGTGTTGCCTGGTGGATGATGCTGTACTACTGCTACCATTCCAAACTAGACCCCGACTGTTTCCGCATCCGCTCAAGAATATAGAATCGGAGCATCAGGAAGAAACCTATGGGACAGACCACACAATGTTTCAGATTATTCTGTGATGGACCAATAATACATTACAGAAGCTAGAATTTATGCTCCAGAATTAGATTCCAGATTCTGAATTCAAAACAGCCTATAATCAACATCATTCTAAGATATCTGTAACAGCTAAATGCTTGTTGAATGTCACTTATTCCAACAGTAGTGAAGCAAATTACATGGAAACAAATCCATATAGGTATTTTAAAAAGGTCACACCAGCAATAAAGTGCAGCTTTTTTGTGAACTTCTAGCAGACAGAGCTATACACCAGCTTCTAATTTAAGCATGTAGCTACTAGCTAGTGAATACAAACGGAAACTGGTTGCAGGGAGGTTTTCTCCTGATACGCTGTTGAAACAGAACACTTTTACAGGGCATTGTTTCAAAGCAACACAATGGACAGTTGGCTCTGACAGCCTCCTCTGGTCATGTGACCATATTAACCTTTTGATAGACTCAACAGAGGTGGACCTACCCTGTAGGGAGTTGAGGATGCAGAAGAGGAAGGGGATGAACTCAGAGAGCTGTCCAAAGTCTAGGAATCCCAGGCCCCATGTGGTCCCGAACAGGCAGCTGAGACCCCAGATACTGAGGAACGCCACCTTGTTCTTCCTCCACTCGTCTCGGTTCTGGATCTTTCTCAGGACCAGGAATAGCATGATCAGACCAGAGAGGACCACTACAGCCAGGAAGGTCAGGTTGATGAAGTAATGGGCTAGTAGGCCAACAGAGCCTGGAGAGACATCCATCCAGCACCTAGAAGACCATGGTGAAAAAGCATGAATCACTGGGCTAACATCACATTTACATTTTAGTAATTTAGCAGACGCTCTTATCCAGAGCAACTTTCAGTTAGTGAGTGCATACATTTTCATACTGGCCCCCCGTGGGAAACAAACCCACAACCCTGGCGTTGCAAGCGCCATGCTCTACCAACTGAGCTACAGGGGACTCACCTCAGTCAAATGTCAAAACTTGATCTACTGTTCATCTTACAGGGGCAGTAGATCCAAAGTGCACTTACATCAAGAAGGGGTTGTTGACATCATCACTGGACACAACCTCTATCACACCATAGACTTTTCCAATGGCAAGCAGTACAATGACAGGAACAGCTGGGATACCTGGACAGAGGATCACAATGATGGTAACAGTCAATGGCTTAAATGTGTATTCAAGTGAATTGTATTCATCTACCCACAATGGGTAGTGGAATATAAACCAATTATTTGTGTATGTTTCCACTCACCAAAGCCAACCAGGTGCCAGACGTAAGGCTTGGGGGAGGGGCTGAACACCATGTAGACCAACCAAAAGGTGTGTAACACTTCAATAGACATCCAGGAGAAGGAACTGAGCAGAGCATAGTGGAGAGCCGCCCCAAAAACCCAGCATGCCTTGTTCCCTCCCACGTTGGCCAAAGTTCCTGTCAGGAAGAAGAGGAGGCTAAGAAGGAACAGTGCCATGGCCAGACCCCGATGGACCGCAGTGGACGGGTCCTTTGCTCTCCTGCCACAGTGCAAGAAGAGGAGAGAAAGTGAGTGAATGAGAGAGAGGGAGGGAGGGATGGAGGGAGAGAAATAGATAGACAAAGAGAGAGTGGGTAACTGTTATGAAACATATCACTCATATCTTATTTTTTAAAGACATTTTGGAATTTCCCATGAACTCTGAGATATTTACACAACATGATTAGGAAGTATTGTCACATGTTGAGGCCTTGTAGGATATATTACGGGTAGGACAGGCTGCAGGGAGACAGACTATTGCATGTAAGGAGAAGTACCGCTGATTGTTAAGGAAGACGATGAGGACAACACAGCTCAAAGTAGAGGCAGCGCAGCCAATTGATGTAATGGCAGTTAGAGCCTCCAGATGGCGCACTGGTCGTGGTTCCAATTGCTGAGGTGAATAGAAGACAAAACCAAGTTTACCATTACCAATCTACTTGAGATGAGTTGTTATTGATTTATTCAAATGATTGCCAATGAAAATATTCTAGATAGAGGTTATAGCTCACCACTAGGATGGCGAAGTATGTGAGATGATTACAGCGGCACTCTGTGTCCTCTGCACCTTTCTGTATGGTCTCACAACCTTCCTTTTTCCATGTGACCTCCGCTGGATCTGCAACAATTAAACCAATACCGATGACCTTAGCAAGGCCTGGAAACACTGCATAATTAAGCATTAAGGCCCAAGGGGGTGTGGTATTTGGCCATATTAACAGCTAAGGGCTGTTCTTAGGAACGACGCAATGCGAAGTGCCTGGATACAGTCCTTAGCCATGGTATATTGGCCAAATACCACAAACCCCTGATGTGCCTTATTGCTATTATAAACTGGTTACCAACATAATTACAACAGTAAACAAGTACTTTTGTGTCATACATGTGGTATATTATCTGATATACCACGGCTTTCAGCCAATCAGCGACCCGGGTTATAATCCTTAATCCTCTATATTCAATACAAATAATAATAATACAAATAAGTATGCTATTATTGCAACCAAGTTTAAACACGCTTCTTTACAAACCTTTCTTTGTGTCCCAAGAAACACATTTTCTTGAGTGAGTTGTCTGAAAAAGAAAAGTTACAGAAGGGAGGTGAGAGGCAAGTAGGTACTTATTTAATTCACCACTAGATGGTGACCTGGATACTGAACAACACATCCCGAATACTGTATATATGTCTGGCATGCAAGATTAGCTTCAATCATATTTTACAAGTGTTACTGTTGACCGACTCACACACTGAGTCAGAACAGAAAGGATCAAGTGTGCAATGACCTGAATACAACAGTTTCAATTTAACTGATGCAACTGTATCAATCAAAATCTCTAAAAGTGATAACACTAAGACGATGCTGAGATAAAGTCCAGAAACACTAAACACTACAACCATACAACAGAAAGTTAGCTTAACTCTAACTATACAACTGTTAAAGGATACATGTCTACTGTACTCAGTGCCAACACCCCTGTGATGTACAGTATTGAATAAAAAGCTACTTGCTACAGTACAATTGCTAGAGTGACTAATTCTGAGATGAAGCGGACATATCTTTTTCTACAAATCTTTCACATTGTTTTCTTTTGCTTCTGAAAGGGCTTTTGAAGTGGTTTGTGCTCTGAGAGTCTGAGACAATAAAATACATCAAGGGAAGAAAACGGCGTGCTTCAAGTCTAAAACTAAGACACACACATGCATTCAGGCACAAACACACACACTTACTGGTATGACAGAATGATGGAAACCAATCCTGATTGGCTCTGGAAGGTTGGTGATGATCTCATTCTCCACAGTGATTCCCACCACATCTTCTAGAATCCTGATGTCATTCTGGTCCGCCTTAGAACTCCCCTGTGAACACACAACAACCAGAATCACAACTACATTTCATAATCTATGGACACAGATTAAACCCAGTCTTGGATTACAAATGTTTTGGTGCTTTAGTGTAAACTGTAATGTACAGTTTACATTGACTAGGGTAGCAGCCAAGTGGAAAACCCATTGGCTCTTACCTGGAATAAGGTACTGTTTTTGAAGTACGTGCACACAACTTTGACCTTTTGCTTTTCTGGAGGTTTCAGACAAGAAGGCAGGTGAACTGATGGAATCATTTGAGGAGGAACTCCTCGAGGCGCCTGCACAACACCAACACACAAGTTAGTTATAATAATCATATAACATTATGTGTGTATGTGCACGTGTGTGGTCTTACAGGCAGAATGATGTTGTAGCCCTGAAAGCCTTCCTTCATCTCCACCACAGAGCTCAGGGCACAGGGCAGCACAACGTTCCCCAGCACCTTGGACCTCATCACTGTCTCCTCTATCCTACAGACCAATACAGACACAGTATTTACAACCCACTTTATCTCATACAGGTAGTTTCTATGCATTACATACAGTATAGACATTACCTTTGGGCATGTGATAGTGATATAGAAACTGGTGTGCAATAGATGGATGTTTTGTTAATCACACTGAGCTAAATTTTCTGTTTGTGGCCTAAGCTCTGCGGCTCACTCATAATGGATGACATCATACTTCACTACTGCCCGAGCATGTTTACAACAACATTTTGTCATGCTGGTTAGTCAACTCAAGAGGATAGGCATAGCCATAGAGGACAAAGTAGTTCAAGAGATGACATGGAGGGGTGTAATTCAAAATAAAGAGGTAAAACGTACACGTTCACCTTATCACCAGATCCCTGACTCGCCTCATCACAAAACACGTTTTCTGAAAGGCAAAGAATCCATTCAGAGGCAGTCTAGTATTTATATTTTCAAGACTGTATAACACACCCAAAATGTACTTAGATTAACAATAACATATTAAAGTTGATTTCCTCATCAGACAATATAACTGACAAGATAACCCAAAGTGTTGCTTACTGCAGTTGACAATTCCGCCAAAAAACTCATAGGCTGGGCGTCTTTGGTAACTTAGGATATCATCCCGTTGTGTCGCGTTGAGTATCCCGTATATCGCAGTCCCTTTGTTTCCGCCTTGGGACAGGTCAGTGCAGCAGTTCTCCTGTAGACCAGACGGCCAGCACAGAGTGTGGTTCTGTCCATTCACCTCTACCCAGAGCTGGTCCAGAAGGGGCTCCCAGTACACACAGAAGGGTGTCTCTCCTGCCTCTGGGCTCGGGCCCAGCTTGATGACAGAAGAGTTCTCACATTGGGCCGTTATCTCACCTCGGATGGACAGGGAGCTCTCATTGGCTGAGATGGTGATGGTGCCACAGCCCCTTTTCAAATCGTGAGCCAGAGTTAAGAGCCCGTTGCCATGGCACCATGTTCCACACATTTTGAAGTCCCTGTCGTTTTCCCCTGATCCTGTTTGGACAATCGTTTTACTTTTTGAATTTTAAAGAAACAGTCTATGCACTGCAGCATCAATCCCTCTCATACAGTATTTTGCTTTATTTGTAGACCATTGCAAATAAAATGTTAACTTACCTGATGCAAAGAGGGCAATGAGAAAGATCATACACAGGGTCCCTCCAAACCCCTGGTTGGGCCCCATTGTTACTGTATGGTTTCACCTTTGACCTCTATAAAACACAAGAAGAACAACACAGGTGTAAAACATGAATACTGCTCAACTTTAATCAGTGTTCCAGACACTTCTTCTCTCTGTGAAAAGCAGGATCGATCTGTCCCAGGGCGATTGCAGTCACTCTTTCAAACACATATCTGTACAATTCCTTCCAGGGGCGATTCTCTCATTATTTACCCTGTCTTCTCTAAACAACACATCTCCTAGACACCATTCCTGTTCTTAGATACACTTATTCTTCATTCAAAAGAGTTATTCAGCTGTCCCCATAGGATAACCCTTTTTGGTTCCAGGTAGAACCCTTTTGGGTTCCATGTAGAAACCGTTCTACACGGAACCCAGAAGGGTTCTACCTGCAACCAAAAAGGGTTCTTCAAAGGGTTCTCCTATGGGGACAGCCGAAGAACCCCTTTGGAACCCTTTTTTGTAAGAGTGTAGCTTGGTAAACTATATTTTGAGAGTAGCTTCCCGAACACTTTAACTTGTACACATGTAGGGGTCACTTGTCTGCTACTACAGCTTAGTTGGAATTGAAAAAAAGACTGTGGCGTGTCTGTGGTAAGACACGTAAAGTAGATCACAATTGGCAGCAGCCACAGGGGTTTTACACATCTTCTGAAGAATAGCTAATGCAATATAGATATTTTAGGTCTCAAAAAGGGAATTAGTGTGATTACAGTGAATTAGCATTGCATTCATTGGTAAGTCTGCATCTGTGAGACCTCAGAACACACACTTGTCATTGAAGACTCAGTGAATACAAGACACAGTGAATGGTGTCTGTGTGACTGTTGGAAGGAAAAGAGTGTTCTCATTGATAAGAACTCAAGAAAGGACACTGAATGTATTTTTAGGACTGAGCAAATGTTTTTATTGATAAGGAAATAGTTAATGATAAAAAAAAAGAAGAATAAGTGTATCTAAGAACAGGAATGGTGTCTAGGAGATGTGTTGTTTAGAGAAGACGGTAAATAATGAGAGAATCTCCCCTGGAAGTAATTGTACAGATATGTGTCAAATGTAACAGAATGTTTAATTTAGTCTAATAAACACAAAAACTATGTTTCAAGTAATAATTATGCAGGTCTGATGCTGAGAAAAAAAGGAAATTCTTGCCTATTTCACCCATATATTATTTTATTTTTGCAAAAACAGTGTGTAGTTCCAGTAGTTAGCTACACCGCTACATGGAAGCTAGCTAAGGGTGGATTTCGCTACATTAGTATAATATGTTTAGTGAGATCTATCTCTCTTCAACATCAGATTGACAACTTTTCTGTTCACACTAGCCTCAGATGTGGTGTGGCCAAAGCCACATTACTGCTCCCTGTGTGAGTGCAGCTATTAACATACCGCAAATACCATAGTATATAGACAAACAAAATAAGAATACCAATTCAAAATATACAGGAGCTTCTCATCTAAACCATATTGTGCATAGTGTTGCACACTTGATTAATGCAATGACATTATTCACACATTTTTTGTGGATATTTTTAAAGCCTTTAATTTACAATTTGGCTAACAGAGAAAAAATGCTTTCTACTGGTATTAAGGTCATTCTTGCAGGGACATTATCTTTATGCTGTAGGACTCATAGGGGGGTATGTGGTGTAGATATCTCCCATACTATCTCAGGAGGACGTGTGGGAGACATCTCTTTAAGAAAGATTTGAATCTAGATCTGTCTAGAGATCTGTCTAAATATACAAAAGTATATTTCCTGGGACTAGTTTGTGTCGTCAAAGTAGTGTAGTGTAAAGAGGCCCTAAGATTGAGGGGATAGGACAGGATTTTAGCTAGCTAACGTTAACAATGCTAGCTATTTTTGACAAACTTTGCTAGCTAATGGCAACATTGCCAACTCTCTAAAGTAAATTTGACGACATGATAATGATGGCAAAGTTGTTTCCTACAAATATTTGCCTACTTTAGCAATGCAATCTTAATTTAGACAAAACAGTCATTAGTCCCCTTTCAGAATGACTGGGCATCAGTCAACTTTTGGGCACCAATATGGTGGACAGTAGCTTTAGAACGTTTATAACAATGGCCCTACGCAAACGAATGATGGAAGTGCAACCCATGATTAAGCTATTGGCTACATGCTTTGAAGTCAGACAAAAACTGCACTCAGCCGTTGAACCACAGTCAAGTGGGGTTTGTGGAGTAGACAGTTTACGTAAAACCTATATCAGAAACCTGTCACCTGCAAATGCTAGACAAAAACAAGCACTGAGCTAAATGTTGACACAGAAAGGTTTCCTACGGGTGAAGGCCTATTCTCATCTATGCCAAAAAAAAATTATTATGTAATGAGTGTGAGCACCAACACAAGTGAGACATCAATCGATCCCAGAATAGGCCTACTGTAAAAACATCATCATATGATAATATAATATGAGAGATGTCACAAACAGAACAGTGAATGACATTTTCTATATGTCTAGATTGTGGTGTCTGTGTTTCCCCTTTGTGGTGTGAGAGTAGCATCAAAAGTGTATTTTTAATAAGGTGTGACTTCCCCGTTGTTTCAATTTCCACACACTTTTCTCCTCTGAGTGGGGTTTATAACCAAGTTTTTACCTATCCTGCTTCCCTACACAATATTTGTACTTTGCTCAGAACATATCTCACACATAATCTAACACAATTGGGTCTGGTCACACACATCTGCAATACTACTCTTCTCCATTTCCAACCACTCTTTCTTCCTCTCTGAGCGTGGCCCCCTTGGCAAACAGATCATACTACTGATAAGCTATACTACGGTTTTGTTGTACACTTCAGGAATAAGCATGGGATTTCTTTCTCTCGTTTTGGCAGCAGTAGCAGTTTGTCTTCTTACACTGGGGCATGAGGGGGACTGCAGTAACATGCTCTAACTCAGTGGTATTCAAACTTTTTCAGCAGGGACCCCATATTTCCCCCAGAATTTCTGGGGTCCCCATTTTTTTTTCAGAAGAACTTCTCGCGACCCCACCACATCCCACCCCACCCCACTCAAAATCTACACGGTGTGCACAATTATTAGGCAAGTCAGTATTTTGACCATATCATCATTATTATGCATATGTCACAACTCCAAGCTGGAATGCTTATTGGATTTAAACATATCAGGTGATGTGTATTTGTGTAATGAGGGATGGTGTGGCCTAAGGAGATCAACACCCTATATCAAGGTGTGCATAATTATTAGGCAGCTTCTTTTCCTCAGGCAAAATGGGCCAAAAAAGAGATTTAACTGACTCTGAAAAGTCAAAAATTGTCTTTCAGAGGAATGCAGCACTCTTGAAATTGCTAAGATATTGGGGCGTGATCACAGAACCATCAAACGTTTTGTTGCAAATAGTCAACAGGGTCGCAAGAACCGTGTTGAGAAAAAAATACGCAAATTAACTGCCAAAGATTTGAGAAGAATCAAACGTGAAGCTACCAGGAACCCATTATCCTCCAGTGTTGTCATATTAAGAACTGCAACCTACCTGGAGTGCCCAGAAGTACAAGGTGTTCAGTGCTCAGAGACATGCCCAAGGTAAGGAAGGCTGAAACCCGACCACCACTGAACAAGACACATAAGTTGAAACGTCAAGACTGGGCCAAGAAATATCTGAAGACAGATTTTTCAAAGGTTTTATGGACTGATGAGATGAGATTGACTCTTGACGGACCAGATGGATGGGCCCGTAGCTGGATCAGTAACGGGCACGGAGCTCCACTTCGACTCTGACGCTAGCAAGGTGGAAGTGGGGTACTGGTATGGGCTGGTATTATTAAAGATGAGCTAGTTGGACCTTTTCGGGTTGAAGATGGACTCAAACTCAACTCCCAAACCTACTGCCAGTTTTTAGAAGACACTTTCTTCAAGCAGTGGTACAGGAAAAAGTCTGCATCTTTCAAGAAGACCATGATTTTTATGCAGGACAATGCTCCATCGCATGCATCGAAGTACTCCACTGCGTGGCTAGCCAGTAAAGGCCTTAAAGATGAAAGAATAATGACATGGCCCCCTTCCTCACCTGACCTAAACCCTATTGAGAACTTGTGGTCCCTTCTTAAACGGTTGATTTACGGTGAAGGAAAACAGTACACCTCTCTGACCAGTGTCTGGGAGGCTGTGGTTGCTGCTGCACAAAAAGTTGATCGTCAACAGACCAAGAAACTGACAGACTCCATGGATGGAAGGCTTATGACTGTTATTGAAAAGAAGTGTGGCTAAATTGGCCACAGATTTTTTGTTTAAATGTCAGAAATGTTTATTTGTAAATTTTGAGTTGTTTGTTTATTATTCTCACTTTAACAGATGTTTAACAGAACAAGTGAGATGGGGAACTTTTCGTTTTTCATTTAGTTGCATAATAATTCTGCACACTAATAGTTGCCCAATAATTGTGCACACATAGATATTCTCCAAAGAAAGCCAAAACCTCACTTTTACTTTCTTAAATATTCAGGTTTGAGGTTTATTAACATTTTGGATTGACCGAGAGCACTGTAGTTGTTCAATAATAAAATTAATCCTCAAACATACAACTTGCCTAATAATTGTGCACACAGTGTAATTACACAACCTTAAAATTGTTACATAACTTTTTTTACATCAACAAATAATCACAAATTCCTTACATTTTCATCTCTTATCAAAATGAAAAGAAACAAATAAATACATTTACTCAATAACATTTTATTTTTCAAATTATCTTTCTCAAAAACATTTTATATTGTCCTATACAATAATCTGTACTCTTAATTTTTGGTTCCTAAAAAATAAATGCAAAATAATAATAATTTGGCTGACCCCACTGCAGTTTGACCCCGACTTTGAATACCACTGCCAGTCTAAGTGAAACAGACTCTGCTGAACATACCAGTAAGATGTACGCATCAACCCACCAGGCAGGTCTAAACTTTTAGATGATTTTTATTGCCCTTGCATGACCTATTCACTTGTAGCCATCTCAACAAGCAGTGTTGCTCACATTTCCTATCTGTCACATTACTGCTAAAGTGGGCATCAGATCATTTGCCAACAAGTTGAAGTACAAAAACAGTGTAGCAGTAGTGTTATTATTATGCACAAAGTGAGCACAATAAGAGAGGCCTTGATTATTTGTCTATGAGTAAATGTAATACAGCACATTTTTGAAAGTATATGAAGACAAAGTCAAATATCAGACAATTGTCAACAGCATGGTCTTTATGGATTATACAGTGGACTATACTTTAACCATACTTATAAGAAATGCACAGTCTCCCCCACCACATAATCAGACTTCACATAATCAACAAGTGCACACAGGGTTCTCAGTTCTCTTCTGTTTGAGAAGGGCGAACCTGACCTCCACCCAGTCTCTGCCCCCCCCCCTCCATTGTTCAAGCCGAGGGCCTCAATGCAGTGAAAGAATGTCCCTTTTCACTTCTCAACTTTGTGTGTTTGTGTGTGTGTTGACACGGTTCAGACAGTTATAAATGCTCAAGGCCAAAGCATGTTGTACAGTGGCTAGCCACATAATGCATGAATTTGGTGTAAAAAATGAGTCATATCATTGTCTAAGCAACTCCAGTTTCCATTTCGATACTTCTGAGGAGACGGGTAAATTCGCACACACAAACACACACACACACACACACACACACACACTTGAACTATTTACTGTAATAATTTATCACACTTCCCCCACCCTTTCCACCCTTTCGTTTCAAAGATGCTGCATGTGTGAAATTGTGGCCTTAATTGAAACTTCTGCTATGACATGAACTCTTGTTCAAACTTTTGTTCTTTAAGCCACAGTATTTTAATGTATTCAACAACAGTGATTCACTCTGTCTGTCACTGACAGCATCTGCATATCACTTCAGAGTAGTACAGCTCTGAGTGGTAAAGCAGTCAAAGAAAATGTGAGTCAGACAGACATGCAACAAGCTTTACTTCACCACCTTTTGTCTGAGAAGAGGAAACATAAACCTCCCGCTATTGCGGAGAAATGTGACCTGGTCCGTGACATCAGAGCTGAACAAAAAAGCTCTGTTGTTGAGGCCCTAAGCCAAACAGAGACTGAGTGTGAATAAAGTTCAAGGGTCATATGATGGTCCAGCATCTGCTTTAGCTATGTTGACCAATGTCCCCTCAAAGAGCTGAGTTCAGCCTTTTAGATGAACAGGTGAGCAGAGTAGTTGGTTCAGATCAGAGATGAAAGCAAAGCTAGGAAACTCATATGTTTCAAGAGGGCCAAAACAAAGATGAAAGTGCCAAAAATATTCACATTTACTACATTTAATTTAGGGGTATACAGTACATCCAGTACTTAGTATGACTTTAATATTGCTTCCTTCTGTGAGGAAGCCATGGCCCAGTAAGCATTTCAAAGCCATTTCTGTCAATCAAACATGGAATGTTTCTTTCCAAAAAGGTAGGGATTATTATAGGGTTTTTAGGTCATAGGGTGATTTGCTAGCCTGCCTGTAAGACTAGACTAGACAGTGAGAGGTGAGTGTGTGTAAATATCTTTGGCATTCCACCTACTCTCCAATTTCCATACAGACATCAAACTCTGCTTAAGATCTTGCTCGCAAAAACTGAGGATATCCCATCTCAACATTGCCTATGGGGCGGCAGGTAGCCTAGCGGTAAAAAAAAAACCTAGTGTCGATGTCCACTCCACCGCGTAAATCTAATTAGCATAACAAAAATATATCAGTTTAAGCTAGAGATATCTGTTTTTTTTTACATTATATGCTTCTCAATCCACCGCATCCGCTGATATTGCACTGCCACATCTGCGGTGAAAGTGACAGAGCTAGAGAGGTGTTTGTCAGACCATGAGACATCCCAAAGTCTGAAGTTGGTACATCCGATCTGCCAACTTCTGTCTGTAGCATCAGAACAGTTTGTGCTACACACTAATATGATGTCAGTTGTTTTGCTCTAGGATGCCCATAGGCCTCACAAGACTCTAAAGGTCCCCAGTACCAGTTTAAAACATTAATTGAAGTATATTTGGAGACAGTTTAGTGCCAAAGATATATGGGGTTAAATACATGTAAAATATATCTATATATTTTTCATGATCTTTATTTTTTTATTTTTTATATTTAACATTCAAAATCAAATAGCTAAATGATCCATGGTATGACCTTCTTAAAACAATTCCATATAGCTTAGTAGAACTCCCCACCTCCCCCGCCTTAGACAGGGCATAGTCTGTAGAGAGGTAAGAAAGTTGGGTTCGAATCACCGAGCCGGCAAGGTGAAAATCTGCCATTCTGCCCTTGAGCAAGGCTGTTAACCAGTGGTGTAAAGTACTTAAGTAAAAATACTTTGCTTAATATAAGGAATTTTAAGTGATTTATACTTTTACTTTTACTTTTGATACTTAAGTATATTTAAAACCAAATACTTTTAGACTTTTACTCAAGTAGTATTTTACTGGCTGACTTTCACTTTTACTTGAGTAACTTTCTATTAAGGTATCTATACTTTTACTCAAGTATGACAATTGGGTACTTTTTCCACCACTGCTGTTAACCCCCAACAACAACTGCTCCCTGGGCACCTATGATGTCGATTAAGGCATCCCCCCACACCTCTCTGATTCAGAGGGGTTGGGTTGAATGCGGGAGGCACATTTCGCTTGAATGCATCCAGTTGTGCAACTGACTAGATATCCCCTTTCCTAAGGTGCATTTAGTTGAAGCCAGTAGTTATTTAACTTTGCAGTCTTTGCAAGGCATTTTGTCCCAATGTTTATAGCAACAATTGTAATATACTGGTTAAAAGGTTTATACTGATACAGTAACTGTATTATGTTGCCAACCTGGCAAGCAAGTGGACAAACATTAAACTGCATCAAAACCATCACACATCACCCAAGCCTTGGTATAAATACTAGCAGCACCTCATCCTTTGTATTCTGCATTTCATCATAGCAATAAGTAATACGCCTACTAAAAGTAAGAACAGATACAATTTTGAAGAATTGCTACATACCTCAGAGCAAGTTATGTATGCCTACTGTATTGGTTAACCTGACAAAGAATGAAATATGTTCCCTTGACTTGATAACAATCAACAACATAATTTATTTTAAGAAAACATAAATGTAAGAACTGGTTTGTAACTGGTTGTAGCCTAAATTAGCACAATGTGAAGAAGCCAAATCTGAGGTTTACTATTACACCCTAAAATACAGAAACACCTGCCTCTGCTTTGTCAGTACATTCATTGTCTGAATTTATTAACCGGTAGGCTACACACATGTTATGGTGAAATTAGGAAATAAATTGAATATCACAGATTAGTGCAGTAAAAAACGGGTTTACATTCGTTTATTTTTACCTTTACACAGTCGGAACTCGTCTGCGCCTCTGCTGAAAGTGGTGGTTATGGTTTTTCGTCGATGTCTAAAGATGTTAGAGGTATAAGCGATGCTCTTCACACCTCCCCACGCGGACTATAGACTTGCTATAGGCTATTGACAGAATCAGAAACTGACCGCGTGAAGTGGAAGGCGAAAAAACCCGGATTCCTCCCCCAAACTCAGACAGCCACAGCAGCGTGTGAAAATGAGCTCAGCCATGCGTGACTTCCAGACACTTCAGACCGTCAGACACTGCACTGGCACCCGTGCTACACAGTACAGCCACATAGAAAAGGTCCAATGTTGTTTGAGCTGCCTAAACCTGAATAGAAAGCCACTCAGGGGAATAGCTGTCAGCACGGACAAGGTGTGAGCCCTAGACAGCCTGCGGGTGTTTGGTAAGAGGAGGGGCCACTGGGTTGTGAGCTTTCTCTCTACAAGAAGAATAGAAAATAGGCTATTCACTATACAATCTATTTTAGGCTATAACGTGTTCCTAGCTTACACTTTCTGTGTGTTTTCTTAGAGAACATTGTCTATAAGGGAGTCTACATATTTC